AGTCTATTGCGGATGCGGGCAATCTCTGCCTCTCATTCTCTCCCTCTGTCTGTCCATGTAGATTTGGTTTATCAGCAGCAGACGCGAACTTGCAACTTGCGACTCGCGACGCCTGGTGACACATGCGGCACGGCGCAGATAAGAGTCTCCGACTGTGTGGCACAGCTGCCCGAGGCATTCGACGCACATGTCCGCCATGTCGCTGGCTTGCCGTGTTGTACTTAACACACAAAGTTCAGCTGCATTCGTTGCCCGCTTTTTGGGGTTAAAAATCTTGTGAAAAAACGCAAATGCCGAATGCCATAAAAATGATGCGGCAATTGCCAGGCGAACTGCTAGCCGGCTGTCGAGGCTTGACGCTCGACGCTCGAAGTTCGAGTACCGATCTCAATCGAAGACCATGCCCCCGCCCCTATGCCAGCCTCTGTTCATGACTTCTGTTGCCGGCTGTGTGGCATGTGTGAAACAAAGCCACATATGTATGTCTGTGGCAAAGGCAAACGGGGGCAACCAGGGTAGGCCGTACGCAGAAGCAGAAGCAGGCAGAAAAAACCAAACGTCCTTGCCAGCAGACCGCAGCAGCAGCAGCAGCCGTGGCAGCGGCAGGAAGCGCCGCCTGTGCCCAATCATAAAAACTTGAAAGAGTCACAGTTGCAACACGATTGCCACGTGTGCTGAATTTCCGCGCAAACGAGGAAAAACTGCGAAAAACTGCGGCACAAACATTTCAAATGTGGCAGCAGTTGCTGCTGCCGTTGCCGCTACCATTGCCATTGCCATGGCCACATTGATGATGATCAACTCGCTGTGCCGCATATGTCGCACGCAGCAATTGCAACCAGGCCCCGGGGGCAGCTGTTCGCAAACGGTAGCTGGCTGGCAACTTTCTATGCCCCTTGCAATCAAATTGCAACGGCAACAGCAGCAGCAGCAGCAGCCGCAGCCGCAGCAGCAGCAACATCAACAGCAGCTGCCAATGGCAAAGATCGAGACGGGATCTGGACTATGCGGCGGTCCGCTTGACTTTCATTAGCATTTCTAACGGCCACGCAGCTGCCAGCAGCTGTAAATGAAACTCTGCTCTACTGCTTGATCTACTGCGTAAGCACATATACATACATACACAGATATATGTACATATGTATTTATTACTGCTGGACTTGGCACAGTGGCAATTGCTTTATAATAAAAATCTTCGACTCGCTGAGTTATCTTAAAATTCCATTAAAAAGAAACGTAAAAAATTAGTTAATAGTATTTTCCAGTTTTATTAGATTATTATAAAGACTCTTAATACAGTTAGTAAATAAGATATATTTAAATACCTATCACACTTCATTTTAAAGCCCATTTCAGTTTCAAAAGATAAATATAAAAGAATAAATAATAACCATTTCTTGAAGTTGAAATTGAACTGCAAATGGGTTTATTTGGTCCAACTTTTACTAACTTAAAGAAGATGTAGACAATTAATCAGCAACAAATAGATAATATTATATATTCTCTATTCCTAACTTAACCTAAGTAATTCTCTTTGGCTGACTATTTTACGTTTCAAATAGAAAAACATAGTTTAGCTTTTTATATACAAATATTTAAAATCTTGTTACAAGACTCTCATATTCTATTTATACTATATATGTACATATAAAGTAAATCTTTTTGTCTCTCAAATGTGATTCTCATATTTGTCGCTCATATTTATAAAGTAAACACTGTGCGAATTGCCAGCAACTGTTGCTGTTGCTGCTGCTATTGCTGTGTCTGTTGTTGGTGAAATCAACAAAATTTTGAGCCATGGAGCAGCTGGCGAACGATCTGTCGATCAGTCCAACTGTCCAACTGTCTGGCTCTCCGGCTGTCGATTGGCTTTGGGTCCGTTGCATTTGCGTTGTAAATATTTTTAATTGCTATTGGAATTTCTTCGTGTGCGCCTCATGGACACATCTTTCAATTGAAGCCGCAGCTGGAGTCGTGTGGGTTGGCGAACTGTAACACAGCGGCAATAGCAGGAGCAGCAGCAGCAGCAACAGTCGCAGTTGCAGCACTTGTTGCAGGTCCGGTTGATCGAGCTGCAGTTGCTGCATGGCGCATTGCCAAACTGCATTTGGCATTGGCAACATGTTGCTATAGTTGCTGTTGCCATGGCTGTGGCTCTTGCTGCTGTTGCTGCTGCTGCTGCTGTTGCATGACAAGTCATTGGCAAATGTTGCTGCCTGACCGTTTGACATAATAACTGGCCACATTAGCAGCAATTGGCATTAGCCAATTAACTTTTTTGTAGCTCAGCTGCGAGTGCTTTCCTCTGTCATGGTTTTCCTTATGCGCCGCATTCATTGACACCTGCAATTGTTGCTCGCAATGCCAGCAGCAACATTGTGTTGTGTTGCTGCTGTCGTGTTCATGTTGTTGATTGGCAATCAATTTGTTGTCGGTTTTTATGATTCGCTGTGCGTCAAATGTAGATAACTGTGTTTTTCTCATCTTCTTCTGTTTCTGCTTCTGCTTCTTCTTCTTCCGCTGCTGGCAATTGGATAATGTTGTTGTTGGTGTTGCAGACAGCCGAATAGATGAAACTTGTTTATGCTGCTTACATGGCCTTTGCATACCTTTTGTTGTTGCTGCTGCTGCTGCTGTAGCTGACTAACAACAACTGCAACATGTGGGTGCCAACAGTGACGATTGCCAGCACGCGTGTTGCTCAGCCCAGCAGCAATTCAACTCTCAGCTACAGCTACAGCTACAGCAACAGCAACAGCTGCTGACAATGTCAAATCTTGCCGGTCTGTCAGTTTTGCTTGTGTCTGCCATTGACTAGACATATGGCCAAGATAAGCGGCATAATTATGCAAATTTGTTATTATAATCAACGGCAGCAACGGCAACGGCAACTGTGACGACGACAGCAACATTTTATGGGCGACTTAAATGCCGACAACGGCAATAGCCAAGTGACGCTTATGGAGCGTTAGAATTAACGATAACAATAAGATTAACTGTTGTTGCTCTATATATTATATATTTGTTATATATATATTAATTATATTTTACTGCTATGCAATTGAAGCAACAATTAAAGTGAGACTCAACTATTGATAAAGCAAATGTTCAATGAAATAATATTTACTTCCTTATATTAAGCCATACAAGTATATCTCATATATCTTTATATGGATTATGGCTTAGTTATCTATAGAGATACATATAAAGAAGAGATCTAGAGTCTATAGCTCTAACAATTACTTAATCAACTCTATATCCTAGGCACTACTAGTTGCAGCTGCTAGTTATATAAGCAAAGATTTTTGCTTTTATTTTTCTTGTACACGTAGGCCCAGACAAAGCGCTCATAAATCGCGCTGGCTAGAGGCAGGCCCGTAAAGTAACATTGTGCATAAGAGATCGAAGCTGGAAATTTGAATACAAACATTGACGAGCGGGAGAGAAAAAACAGATTTGGAGTCGGATGCCAAGCTGCGGCTACAAATCAATTGAGTCAGTCACAACAATCACATTGAGAGGCGATCGAGTTGGCAAGGCTGTCCGTCTGTCCGTCTGTCCGCCCGTCCGCCTGGCTGTCTCAGCGTCTGGCTAGGCACAGGTTCCACAGACAAGATCGATGGTACGCATGCATAAATGCCTCCATAATCATTTTGTTGTACGAAATTTAGACGTCACTTAACTGTCAGTCGCTGTAGCTGAAGCGCCTGACGAACTGGACGACTTGCAGCCATGGAACATATGGCATGTGGACTGGAGGGGCGGTATAGAGTGTAGCGGGTAGGCTCCGGCAGACAGCGCGCACATTGCGCGACAGAATGGAGGAATACAAAAACCCAAACGCGGCACAGCTCTCGGCCAGATCATGTCCATATTTGCATTTTTGAAATGACACATGGAAATTTTTGAAAGCGGAGCAGCCAAAATGGCCAACAGATTGACAGCAGCTGCAACACACACACACACACACACACACACACATGCATAAGCAGAGGCAGAGACAGACAATATGGAACGGAACGCTAAACGAAAGTCGTGCACAAACTCAAACTGGCGACATATGGATATGGATATGGATATGGTATATGGCTATATGTATATCTCTGTATGTGTTTGTGATTGCGCTCGTTGCCAAAGATAATTGCTGTCGCATATTTTTGGCGTCCACTTGTTGTCGCCGCCACTGTAACTGCAACTGTTAGTGCAGCCAACTGTCGGCAACATGTGTTGCCTGCTTGGTGCTGCCTTTTCGGGCAACATGTTGCAATCGGAATGCTGGCTGCCAAAATACAATAAATAAAAAATATCGCTAGAAATGTGAATTTATGAAAACGCATATTTGTGCACTTTGCACCACTGTGCAAGCCGATGACGTTGCCGGTGCGCCAAGTTCAATGTCTGGAACGACGAAGCAAACGAACACAGAGAGAACGTTGCGATGCCAACGCCAGCGTCAACGAACGAGAGAGCAATGCAAAAAAAAGCAAATAATATAGCAACAACAAACGCGTAGGCAGGCAGCAAAGAGCAATGAGACAAGAACGAAAACAAACACGAATAATAGAGATAACGGAACCATTACCCGACACTCTAAAGCCAATATAATAATGAAATAGAATCGAGGCTGAAGTTTGACTAAAAGAAGAACAAAAGCAACTACATAATAATAAATTCTAAATGAGGGCAGCGCACTCTAAATGCTCTATCTAAATTTAAACTAGCCTACTATAGGTTTAGTTGATAAATATACAGCTTTAATTAACCTTATTTCTCTCTATAAATATCCGTCGTTTTCTTTCACATTTACGCTTATTATATAATTAAGAAATTCGCTGATTATCAAGCTGCTTGTGTTACAAGCATTTTGATGAACTCGCCAATGCGGCTTTCGAGTGTATAAAGCGACATATACAATGCAAAAACAATAAGCATTGCCATGCCGAGAGAGCACGAACGAGAGAGCAAGTGAGCGAAGAAGAGCAACAGCAAGAGAGCAAGCACCGACAGTGCGCGTCGCCGGCAAATTTGCTCTCTCGTTCCCGTGGCCTAGCCGCATTGTTGCTGTTGTTGTCATTTTAGTTTTATGATAAAGACGCAGGCAAATGGACATGCACAGGCTGATCAACGAGGTTAAGCAGCGGCCGGCCCTGTGGGACGCCAGTCATCCGGAGCATGCAAACCGCGTGGAGACGCTACGCCAATGGCGCAGCGTGGCAGACGCGCTGGGCGTCAAAGGTGAGTCAGCCGCCAAGTCAAGTCGCGCTAAAAGCAAAAGCCGTAACTGTAAGCGCCGTAAATGCCATTCTCTCTTTCTCGCTCGCTGTTTCTCTCTGGCGCACAGTGGAACTGTGTCGCAGTAAGTGGAAGAACTTGCGCTGCAGCTATCGCCGGCACCAGCATCGCACCCAGCACCAACAACCGCAGGTATCGCCATCGCATCAATGGTCCTATGCGGAGGCCATGAGCTTTCTGGACGGGCGCCGGCTGCGCGCGGACAGCAGCAACAACGAGGACGACGATTGTGATCTGAGTCTGTCGGAGCCCATGACATTCAAGACGGAATTGCCATCGGATGAAATGGAGGCGGACAACGATGAGCTGATGCAGCAGTTCCAAAGTATGGCCACGCCTCAAGCACTGCGCCGCCTCTCGCACAGCATTTCGTTGGCAAGCGCCGCCGCCGAGGAGCAAGCGGTGCCACCAGAGAATTCCATGCCCACGGGCGGCACGCAGTCGGCCACGGCAGCCGCTGCGGCAAGCAGCTGCCATTGCGCCAAGCGTGTGGACGAGCAGGTTACCTTTCTGGAGAGTCTGGAGCGCGAGGAGCAGCAGCTGATACAGTCCACCAGTCAGGATTTGGCGCGCTGCAAGAACATCCTGCACGTGGGCGACTCCGATTACAATTTCCTCATCAGCTTTTTGCCGCTGATGAAGCAAATGTCGCCGTTGCAGAACATCACCTTTCGGGCCAAGATGGGCGAGCTGCTGTTGCAGACGATGCAACAGCCACAACAGCAGCAACAACAACAACAACAGGGACAGCCGCAAAAGCAGGAGGAGCAGCCGCAGCCATCGCAAATGTTGTTGAACCAGCAGCAGATGGCCTTGGACCAGGCCCAACAAGTCAGCACTAGCTCTACAAATTGGAATTGAGAGCGCGGCTTTTCGCAGCGAATTGAAGGAATAGAGCGAATTGTGAACGAATCAGTGCGCATGCTCGCCGCACAGTGGGCGGCGAGTGCTAAAAAGGCTGAGGAAAATTACTTACAACATAAATATAAAAAGTTTTCTGCTAAAAATATATGAAAATTATCTATATATTTTTTTTTCATTTAATATATATACATATATGTATATGTATATCTATATGTATATATAAGGTCCCAAGTGTTTGAGATTCGTACATGTTTGCACAATATCTGTATGTACGCATGTCAAGACGTCAACTATATAATACTCGCTCTGTAAAAACTATGCTATAAACAAATTGTAATTGTAAAAGATTTTATTCGCCTGATAAAGAATATGTTTGGCAAACCGTAAAACGTTTTGAATTTCCGAGTGATTATTTAATCAGTTGATAATTTATACAGTAACCCTTGACTTTAACTGCTTCACTTGTTCGCCTGGGCAAACTGACTCATCAAAACACCCTTAGCCAGACCGAGATCGGAGGCAGTTGTCGTTGGGTTTGCCTTTTGTAGTGCGAAGAAAACATTTTATTGTTAGCATTTGAACCCTTGTGAAGGGTTAGGCAAAGGGTGCGTGAGAAAATTTGTTGATTTGATCATCAAAAAAACACTGGTTTACGTGTCTTTTTATATGGTTTGAAATTGGGTTTTACGTTGATCTAAGATCTCGCATTGGTTTTTTTTTTTGGGAATCTGTGCGCATAATTGAGAAATGTCACAAGCAATAAAATTACTGAAGACAAGCGAAGATCGAGAGGTTTTTAATTTGATATAATTATGGGAGAATAAGTGCGCAAAAAGTAAAGCAATAAAAAAGGTTACTGACATGAAATAAAAACAAAATTCAAGTTGAGAAAATAATATTTTTTAATGCTTTAGATAACCTCCACTTGAATAGACAACAATACACATAAAAAGCTGAAACGTAAAGCTAAAGAAGCTAAAACTCACAGCTGCCAAATTTCGTAGAGTATCAAAGTTCCTCTCTCTCCGAACTAGGTGCGCCGACTACAGTTACCATATAACTGTCTAAGCCAACTGTCATATTTACGTAGCCCCAATCGCAGCTGCAGGAATAGTGCTTCATGATTTCCCATTTGTAGTCATGATCTCATCTCGGCTGGCTGCATCATCGAGTGGAAAGGGATAGCAGATATGCTTGATAGTTGCGTGGGCGTGCAACAGCTGCACAGTGGAGCTTAGGCTGTCTTCTAGACGGCCCACACACTTACACACACACACACACACACACACATGCGCACACATTCACACATGCTCAATAAATTACAGTAGAATGAACCCCATGTAACAGGCTATGGCGGCGAGCGTTCAATGGTCAACGGCGGTGGTCCTGTATTAAAAGCCAAGACCAAAGTTAACATGGCCATAAAAGCGGCTACAAAACAAACAACAACGGCAACAGCAACAACAACAACCCGATTGGAGAGGTCGCCCGAGAAATCAACGCAGCTGCGGATGACGAATCGAAATTGACATTGAACTGCAGCCGAGGCGACAACAACAACAACAGCAGCAGCAACAACTTGTTGCTTGCCTGTAGCCAGGTTGCCAGTTGGCCAGCACACACAGACAGACACAGGCACACATACAAACAGAAACGAGTCAATTGTAAAGGTAAACAATACAAAAAGCGGGCCAAAAAAGTTTAAGGTGTGTTCTTGAGCTTGAAAGTGCTGCTGTTGCTGCTGCTGCTATTGCTGCTATTGCTGCTGCTGCAGTGATTGCAGCAGTCAACACTCTTAACTGGGCCCAAACTCAATTGCAAATTAACAGCAGGCCCAGAATCGAATGCAAATTGACATTTGTCACTCGAACGTGCCCACTTGGCAGCTAAATTCCAGCACGAGTTGCTGCTGCTGCTGCTGCTGCTGCCATTGTTGCTGTTGTCGTTGTCGTTGTCGCTGTTGCAGCAACATGTGTGTGCACATTCCATTGGCCATTTCCATTTCCATTTTCCATGGCCGCGCTTTCAACTATTGCCGCAGCAGAACGTTTATTTTTTATTTGATGGATTTTCGCACCGTTTTGCTAATCCCCAGCTGAGTTTTTGGTCAGGCATAAACGTGTTAATCACAACAGCAACAGCAACAGCAACAACAACAACACCAACTGCTGCCAAGTCTTACCTGTTGCGCGTCTTTTCATTTGCCTTTCATTGCTTTTCTTTTTTGTTCTTTTGCCGACAAATGCAAATTTCTCAAATCTATTCTGCTCACGTCAAATATTTGTATAGATTTTCAGGTCCGTTCGCTGGCGTTGCAAGTGCATTGTGGCACACAGGTGTTAGAACTCACAGCTCATTGTTAATGCGTGTGTTTGCATTGTTATTTTATGGCTCTGGATGCTGTTCGTTTGTTCGCCTGGCTGTTGGCTGTTGGCTGTTGGCTGGTGGATGGCTGCAAGACGTTTGCATATTGCGGAATTTCCCAGCATTTGCTCGATTCATCGAAAGGGTTTCCGAAATACCAACCGAAAACCAAATGCTGACGCCTCATGCAACACCTTTCGCATATTTGCATATGGCCTAGAACAAAAGCCGCAACAGGTGCGTCTCACCTGGCCAACAACAGATGTAGTTTCATGCTAACCGATTATGGATTAGAATACGTTAAGTGTTTGTCCGGACAATTGGTTACGCTAGCCGAATCTCAATTGAACAATCCAGAAGTGAGAAGCGGTACGTGTTGGTCATAGACAGAAATTTCATAGGTAAACGGATCTCTTAGAAGTCTGCATACAATGGAGGCATTGAATAGTTAGAGCTGTTCTCTAGGAAGCTAAAATCGTATAATAGCTAAACTGTATTCCGAAACTCATTTGAATAGAAGTCCGACATCTGTTAGCTTGTTCCAGTAATTCACACGTAATTCCCAAATTGTTAAATCAGAAGATTGAATTTTAGCGTATATTTATTTGATGTAATGTCTTAGTATAATTGCTATACCTCTACAGCATATTACTTCAAAGCTCTTATAAAAGAACAAGTGTACTCTATGATATACAATAGTATAACATATGCAATTTCTAACGAGTTGTATCATGCTCACAACTCTACAGCACCCAATCCAGCTTAATCTCATCCAATCAAACCATCTAAGTACTAACATTAAATAGTTGAGTGCTATGAAATGTAAGCTGCTTGCATTGGCCACACTCTCTTGAATCAGAAGTCGGCGATCTCATTAATCAACACCAGCTCCATAATATTCAATTCCCAGCACTTTTGTATTCCCAATGATTGATCGGGTGTATTTTCAGTTTTTGCATGTTCGATTCCCATATTCGCGAACGCCTCAGCCTCAGCTTCAGCCTCAGCTTTTCAGCCAACATAATGATCCGTTTCTCAACTCTTGCTAATGTTGACTCCAATCATTGACCATAATATCGGAGTGCAGACTAAACAGCGATCGCTCAAACCAATCAAAACAGGCACTTAACATTTGGGCACCCAAAATAATATAAGACGGAACACACAACAAAGCAGCAAATGCTCGTTAGTTGTTAAAGAAGATGATGAAGAAGAAGCAGAGAATACGCTGAGTCATTCAAACCTGGCCCAAAATGTGCGTCCAACTATTCTGTTCACTTCGCTTTGACTTCAACTTCAACTTCAACTGCGACTTTGACTTTGGCTTTGGCTGTGGCTTTGCGTCTCCCGTTCGCAATCAACCCAACAACGACTGCAACTATCTCTTTCCCTCTGCATTGCCCGCTCCCTCTACCACTCTCTCTCCCTCTCTCTCTCTCCCTCGCTCCAGTATTGCCTGGCAGCAATCAATGCTGTATGACAGCTAGGTTAACAGTCGATCCTACGCGCTTCCTCTTGATTTCGTTAAGTAAATCTCCAGCTTGGCTTGGGCAACCTTCACGTGCGCGTCGTCGTCGTCGTCGTCGTCGTCGTCGTCGTCGTCGTCGTCGCCAGCTGTCCGTGATTCCCCTGCCTCTGCCTCCACTACTCCTCCTCCGCCTCATCGTCCTCACCTGTTCAGTTTTCATGGCTTGGCTGTCGAGATCATGATCATGGCTTTAACTGGCTCTTGGCAAGAGGCCAGAGTACGTGTATTTTTAACTTGGCTGTTGCTCTTGGCGTTGGCAGCGACTGCGTTTATTGTTGTGTATGTCTCGACAGACGACGGACCGATCGACAGACAGACAGACAGACGGACACACAATGTTGGCTCTTTAGGAGCAACCTATGCGAGTCTACCCGTCCCTCGGCACCTCTACACTCAAGCTCCATTGGCATCGGCTCCGGCTTCGGCATCGGCATCGGCATCGGCATCGGCGTCTGCGTCGGTTTTCTTTTTAAACGCTTTTAAACACCTGAGAAACTTGCTTTTTAATGTGCGCACATGTGTGCGGCTCACGATGATCATAACGATGATCGTGATGATGATGATCATGCGAGTCTAGGCTCGGACTGTGGCTCGTTTGTGCGATGATGAAGCAAATATAACAAATCTCAAAGTTATCAGCCCGACACGTTGCCTGGGCCACGCAGCTGAGTAAATCAATTGACGCGCACAATTCTAGGAATTCAGCTCCAAGTGCAGGTCCCCTCTCGCTCTCGCTCTCGTTCTCGCCATCTCTTCATCTTTCCACCGCCGCCCCCATCTCCCCAAGTGGTCTCTCCCCGGCCCACGCCTAGCTGGCTGCTCATTTGAATGCGATCGCGTTGGCCGCTGCTCGTTAATGTGTTTGGCTGCCCCCACGGGGCATTTGGCAGCGGCAACATTTGTCAGACGATGCCTCCAGAGGAGGCAGCCGCAGTCGCAGCAGCAGCAGCAGCAGCAGCAGTCGCAGCAATCGAGCAGCAGTCGAGATTTATACCTAAATGATTAACCATTTCTTACTCTAGGCTGGGGAGCCCGGATCGCTGCAGTTGCTGCCAGTGGGTGCCACTTGGTGTGAATTTGTAATGCGCCCGCTTTTTACTTGGCATTGACTTTGGATTTGAGTTCTGTGTTTTGGG